ATTCAGGGTAAAATTGCAATGTAGTCCATTCATCATACTTTCATGATGATTTATTTAGAAGTTTGTTTGTGCTCTAATTTGTCCAATAGCTAATAGCATTGGAAATATTCAAATTAGTCAAAACCAAGTAGTTTGAGACTTTGGAAACACACATTGTTTCACTAATATATAAATAAACCAAATGTAAATAAACAGAAAAAATACTCTAAAGTATAATGAACCTACTCTGATTATAAACAACCCTGGTCATGTAACACACAAACAGCTTCTAAATAAGTTTGCATTTACCATATTTCATGTTTTCATTGACACATATACCAGGGTATATTAAAAGCACTCTTTTCTTCCAGTATCCTTTGAATATAGATGCTTAAGAAGAAGCATGTCGTTTTTGACAATTCAATGAAACATAAAAATGGATCAGAGGTCCAGTATAGAATGCATCATCCATTGGTTCTGGATTTAACACATGAAATCCTTGAAAGAAGAATTGAAATGTTCTAAAGATTTGTTGGTTTTTTGTTTTTTAGGAATTCACAAGTTTTAAAAATGCCTCTTTGGTTGTTAGATAACACTAATCAACTATCCAAAAACATTTTGGTTTAAACTCAAATTTTTAACAAAATGTTTATTTTAGATTTGGAAACTCATTTTGGATTCTCCATAATGATTTAGGTAGACCTTTCAGTAAGTGCCCGTGGATTGATTTAAAAAATAAAGTTTAGAAAATATGAAAAGGAGGGGACAGAGAAGAACATATCACATAATCTAGATTTACCCATAGAATTATATACAATTATTTAGTTAATTAGTGGCTGAGAGTGAGGGCTGTTAGTACTCATGACAGAAAAAGTGCACAGATAATATAAAAAAATAAATGAGAGATTTGTGATGTTACCATGATGATAACATGAAAACCTGATGTTGGTAAAATCTGAATTGATTCCATGACATTTAAACATTTAAAAAACAGAGAAAGACAGCATTTTGCTTGTTTGTTTTGTGGCAAAGTCTCACTCTGTCACCCAGGCTGTAGGGCAGTGGCACAATCATGGTTCACCACAGTTGCGACCTGCTGGGCTCAGGAACTCCTTCTGTCTCAGCCTCCTGAGTAGTTGGGACTACAGGTGTGCAGAACCACATCTGGCTAATATTTTGATTTTTTTGTAGAGATGTGGTCTTGCTATATTGCCCAGACTGGTCCCAAACTCCTGGGCTCGAGCGATCTTCTTAATTCAGCATCCCAAAATGCTGGTATTACAGGTGTGAGCCACTGTGCCTTGCTAATATTTTGACATTTTGTAGAGACATGGTCTTGCTATGTTGCCCAAGCTGGTCTCAAACTCTCAGGCTCAAGTGTTCTCACCTCAGCATCCCAAAGTGCTGGGATACTAGGTGTGAGCCACTGTGCCTGGCTGAGAGATACAGATTTTAAAATTCAATCTTGTTACTTGACTTAGATTAGTCTCAAGAAAAAAATTTAAAAAATATATACTTTGAGGTGAAAAAATTTTTTTTCCCTAATGAATATCATCTATCATTAGTCACTCACTTCCTTTAAAATCTGTCCTCACATTTATGGAAACTCATTATTTCCTCTTGAATATCCCAAGGACACAGAGCCTTTCAAAGATTTTCATGCCAGTGTAACATATTAATCTGTTGGTCCATCTGTAAATATGTATCTTGGTCTCATACAGTCTGCATGACGCCTTGCTCAGAGATTAAAAGAAAACCATTGCAGTGTGTCAAAGGTGACATAAGGAAATAAGGTGCTTAGGTAAAGTTCATCATCAAGGTTTTTTTTTTTTTTAACTTTCAGCTTGAATCTCTCTCATGTTGATATTCTGTAGGGTGAGGTGGCATACCAAATTTGCTCAGTCAGAGTTGGGACTCATCCTGAAGCTTACTGATGCTTCCAGAACCACCAGTCTGCTGTGATGGAAGGTATTGCCACCAGACTTAGAGATCATCTGACTTTCAAGAAGAAGCCACTCAATTTGTCCCCAAATCTACTTGAATAATAACAGTGGGCACATAAAAAGCATAATAAGAAGAAAGAGGAAACAAAAGCTAAAAGGTTCACCTTAACTTTCCCGGCATTTTCATCATCATCTTTTTTGTCTTCAAACTCAAAGGCAACAGTCATGCGTTGCTGTCTCTGCTCTTCCCAAAGTGTCGGGTTAAAGCTGTCACTGTCTGACTGGAAATCTACAGTTAGATTTCAAAGTGTTATTATCATTTTAAAAATATAAAGTGTTATTAATAGAGCTTAATATGCTATGCCAAAATGGTGATAGATACTGCAAATAAATACAAAAAGAAAAAAGAAAAAGGAAAGAGAGAGAGAGAAAGGGAGAAAGAAAGGAAGAAAGAGGAATGAAGGAATAAAATTCCCTCGATATTTATTGCATGGTCTTTTACCATCTTAAATTCAGCTTTCCTAAGTAAACATTAATGACATATTAGGACTGTTCTAGTGTAGGGAATGAGCTCTTCTAGGATAACACAGATAATAGAGCTAGAATACACACTTTAAAGCACTGTTTTCATCCTCACAACAGTGCGATGGTTCTACTAATGCCACTCATATTTTACTAATGAACAAAGTGTAATTAAGTTTTAAGAGAACTGTTCAAAATCACACAGCTTCTCTCTGGCTAGTAGAGGACTCTATTCCAGATCTGAATAGAGTCCACATGTGCAACCACTAAACTCTATCAGAATTTTTAATGAAAGATACTACATAGCAATGATTTTGCAATAAAGCATCTAAGATTGCAACTTTTTGTTCTTGTCATGTATGGGGGGCAATGGAGGGGAACTAGCTACCTTGCTTTTATTGTGGAGAACACGTGGAAGATTTAGTCTTTAACATTTAGGCTTCAGTTAGTTTAAATGTGCCTCAGATTAACAGGGAAAATAACGTATACAGCTTTAATTTACATTAAAAATTGGTTGATGATATATCTTTTTTGCAACATTATTGAGAGGATCACATGAAAGTTTAGTTTAGGCCAAATCCTTTTCCAAAGGAGGCTCTTCATCATATATTTTTTCGTTTGTTTGAGGGATTCTGAAAATTCATTTATTATGCTCCTGCCTGAAAAACCAAAGGGTGACCTGCTTGAAGTTCAGGAAAACTTTTCAATTATCAACTTTTCTTTACTCAAAGGAAAAACAAAAACAAACCCAAACACAAGAAGGTTATTTCTGAATACCGTATGTTATCTAACTAAATCTATGTTGGAACAAATTAGGGGTTTAGTTTGTGAGACTGGCTCTCAGAAATGACCTGTGACTATGTGACATTTTTCATTTTCTCCTACATTTTTTGAAATTAAATATTTTTATTATCTAGGCTTATTAAAATGAAAACATAAATAAAGCTCTATAAATAAAACATAATCCTTACCTAAGACATTTCTTACATGTAAACATGGTGGCTTTCTTTTATCAATTCAAAATACCGATTTTATCAAAGTCAAAAAATACATATCAAAACAATCTTTTCTTTTGGTACTTCTGTAAGTCAAAATTTATATAAAAATATCTCCAAAATCTCAAAATAATTCACTTACATTTGGAAGTCAAAGACTAACTAAAGCCATTTATCATAAATATCATGAAAATAAGAAACACATAAGAAAATGATTTCTTTTACAGGTTGCTCTCCTTCATATGGATTGGGTGAATTTAATCCATGACTGGATTAAAGTGGGTTTACTCTTCTAAGAATTACTGTGACTCTACAGCTTTCAAAAATGTGCATGTCAGCCTGTGTTGGCTTAGGTTGAGGAGCCAAGGTCAAGTTTCAAATAGTAAAGGACAAACCTCTTTTGCAATTTTTATGGCTAATGTGGTTACAGTATAGAAGATTTAATTCTTGAAAAAGGTTTTAGGGACAATTGTTTAGGAAAACTCAACTTGAAAAATAAAAAATGGCCATTATTTACAAGTCATCTCTTTATGGTTGACTCAGAACATGAGCTAATTTGAACCCCGAGATCTCTGAACTAAATGTTTAAATTGTGATCATGCAATGACTGAACACGGAAATTAACCAGTTCCTTAAAATCTCTTTATGATCTGACTGCTCTTAGCTCATTTCAATTAGCTGGGTACCTTATCTGGTCAACTAGTTCTTTGTCTCACAATCGACAAAGAAAGAGTTGAAAAGCAACATTATTTGCACATAAGATATAAAGAGGAAGAGTTTGTTCTGGAATTTACTTAAAACATTACAGAATAGAAAATAAGAGTCATGCTTGGAGTATATCCTTAAATGATATTTGTGTGTCAGGTAATTATCTTCACAGGTTTGCCAAGGAGCCCATACTCCTGGCCAGAGACCAGGCTAGCATTAGTCCTTCCTATCCATAATCATTGTAAGCAGAGACGACACCTTTACTGACAGTTTACCTTCATCACCACGAGGCTGCTGGGGAAACATGTAGTTAGTCAACACTCTTTGCTTTGTTTCTGGATGGGCTTCGGTTTGTAAAGGGATAAGCGCTTTGGACTGGGAACAAAAAGCATATGCATTAGATTAATAAAATTGCAAATATGCAGAATATTTACTTCATATAAAATTGCAATCAATAGTCTGGCCTCACTTAGATGAATGAATAATTGAATTAAAAATGAAGAAAAACAAATGAAATAAGGAAGTATAACATGACATAGGGCTATTGCTGAAGAATAATTTCAAATTCTAAGATTTTCATAATAAAGTTTTCCTCTTCTATAGTATACTCTTTTACAAAGCTTGCTAAAACTTATTCAACTGAACAATGTCAAAATGTGTTAAACTGTCTCAACTGAGTAAGCTTTTGGTATGGTTCGAGATGCCTATTCATTTTCATGGTCCTTTGTCCTAGAAAGACAAACGAAATCACCATTTCATGATATGCAAGGTCATCTATGAATTTAATTAGGTTGAATAGCATTCATTCATTTCTGAGACACTTTTATAATCAAAAGCAACTGTACTTATATCTGATACATTACAATATGTTTACATGTGGCTGTATTCCATTCTGTTACTCATTTGATTTCAGAAATACTATTTGTATTTTTTTTGTATATATTTTACTTTAAAGATGTGGGATACAATTCAGGGTTAGGTATACAAATGTTCATTATGCAGGTACCCTGTTGATGAGGTGGGCCCCTCCCTGCCCTAGCAGTTTCCCTCAACTGCCAATCCCACCCTCCCCCCTTCCCTGGCAGTTACCCACTACTTTCTTGTAGTTTTATGATAACTGTTCAAGGTCCGCTTATGAGTAAGAACATACGGTACTGTTGTTCTTTGTTTCTGTGATAGATCACTGAGTATGATAGACTCTAAATCCATCCAAGTAGCTGCAAAGTCCTTATGTTTGTCCTTTATGGCTGCATAATATTCCAACGTGTATATGTACCACATTTTTTTTATCCAGTCCATGGGCAGCAGGGTTGCTTCCATGTTTTTGCTATTGTGAATAGTGCTGCAATAAAAATACATGTGCACTTATCTTTTTTATGGAATGATTTGAGTTCCTCTGGGTATATTCCCAATGGAGGGATTGCTGGGTCATATGGAAGGCCAATTTCTTGTTCTTTCAGAAATTTCCACATTGTTTTCCAAAGATGTTGCACTAGTTTGTGCGGTGTAGAAGCGTTCCTTTTTCTCCGCATCCTCGCCAGCATCTGTTGTTGTTTGTTTTATTAATGATGGCCATTCTTACTGGGGTTTGGTAGTATCTCAATGTGGTTTTGATTTGCATTTCTCTGATGATGTGTGAAGCCAGGCACTTTTTCATGTGTCTGTTGGCTGCCTGTATATCTTCTTTTGAGAAGTGTCTATTCATGTCTTTTGCCCACTTTTTAATGGGACTATCTGTTTTAGAAATATTATTTTTAAATGGTTTTTTAAAAATTCAGATATCATATGCCAGAGACATATACTAAAATATCTGCTTATTTTATGACATTTATTAATAGGAGTGAAGCACAGAGGGGATTTCAGATATTAGTTGATCTCATGAAACTGAATCAGAAACACATTCAATTAGTGTTCTAAATAAAAGTTAAATGATGCAGTCACTGTTCTGTTCATTCTCTGATGAGAATAATACATCATGACATTAGGGAATGTTTCCTCACAATGCAGGACTGTAAAATAGGCTGTTTCATTAGTTTAGTTCACACTGATTCCAGAAATGATTTATTTAAAATGATATATTGATGCTTTGAAAAATCAATAGTTTGAATTCGGTTTTTTTTTGAGTTGGAGTCTCACTCCATTGCCCAGATTGGAGTGCAGTGGCATGCTTCCGGCCACCACAGCCTCGACCTGCTGGGCTCCGGTGATCCTTCCGCCTCAGCCTTCCAAGTAGCCAGAACTACAGGCGTGCACTACCACGCCCGGCTAAATTTTGATTTATTGTAGAGATGAGGTCTCACCAAGTTGCCCGGGTGGGTCTTGAACCCTCAGGCTCAGGCAATCCACTCACTTTGGCCTCCCAAAGCGCTGGGATTACAGGCTGAGCTACCGAGTCAACCTGATTTTTTACTCAGTAGATGGAAGTAAATGTTGTAATGACTGTAGAACTTCAAATATTATTCTTACATTCACATTTTGTATTTTGCAGAGGTTATTTTTAATTTTCTTGCAAAAGTAGCCCAATGTCTGGGAGTGTGAAGAATTTATTCACTAGTAATGCTTCTTTTATGCTCAGAAAATAATGATAAACTAAATTCAAGATGGATTATTTTCATTTGGCCTTTCTTATTTGGAGATAGGTGTTTCAAAATTTAAGGTTCACAAGAAAAAAAGAGGACAAATAAACTACATCAAATTGTCTATCATCAGTTCTTCTGGTGGCAAATCAGATGTCTTTAATTGTTTCTTGTTATTTTCCAGTTAATAAAATTATTCATTGTAATCTATTTCCAAAAGTATAAAGAATAATATCGAAACAACTTTACAGAAAATACTAATAGCTGGCAAAAGTGATCTGCACATTTCTTGAATAAAACTTCTGAATTAAGTTGATTATAATTAAAAGCATGAGAAGAAAAAGGAACACAGAGGATAATAATTCCCCCTTGTGGGGACTGTGGTATGGTTTCTTATTCTTTATCTTTAGAGATATAATTAGAGTATGTCCTCTAAGGATATTTATGTACCACCTACAGCTAAAAAGCTATAAAATGATAATTTTTTGTATGAGATCTCTGAAAATGAAGTAGAAGTATTAAATAGAAGTATTTTAGAAGAATAGAAATAATAGTACTGTTTTGTCTTAAGCAATGTTTGAATTTCTATCTTTACAAAAACGTCTCCTCCAAGGGATAAAGAATCTGTATTTTATAGTGATTGTCAAAGGTATCTAATGGGAATAAGCCATTAATTCAAAGTTTCACTCACAGTTCATCTTAATAAACAAAATAAATCAGGTAACAAAGTTTTTACCTGATTGTCAGAAAGCCACAAAGCTGCAAGTTCTTTAAGTTTGGTAAATGAGAATGGTAAATTCTTCAATCTGCAAAAACAAGAAAATTCTAATAGCATGGGTAAAGATGGATAAAGCTCATTTCTAAGATGACTTATTTAAAACACTCGAATTTGTTGGTTTCATTCTTCCCTCCAATCCTTTTTTCATTGAGCAGCCTGAACAATATCTTTAAAAAAAAATCTCTGATTTCTAACTCTTCAAATTCTTCTCATTGTATCTGGATAAATATAAAAATATGTTTAATATGCACTGTTAGAACTTTAGGGGTTTGGCGCCTCAAGACCCCTCCAGAAGTTTTTCCTGCCACCCTCTTCTTTAGCCCCGTCAACACCGCTGGCTGTCTATCAACCTGCTATTTTTTCCGTCTGGAATACTCTCTCCTACACTTCACATGACTGAATCCCATATATCCTTGGATTCTCAGCTTAGATGCCATTTTCTCAAGGAAGATTTTCTTTCTTTCTTTTTTGATTGCTTATTTTTTTTTTTAATTTTTTTATTGCAGAGTTTGGGGTACAAGTGAGAATTAATTATGTACACAGGCTGCATGCTGGTGAAGTTTGGGCTTCCAACTGTCCCTCACTCACCCCGTAGTGGACCAGGTCCCCTTTGGGTTGTCATGTGCCCCACAGCCAGGGAGGTTTTCTTTAATTCCTCATTTAAGTTACTTTCCTCAAGATAGCTTCAATACCCTTGTACATGTGTTATGGAACATATTGCAGTCTTTAATAACACACTTATTTTGTGATTATTTGATTACTCTCTGCTATCCCCTCAAAACTATTGGCTCTCTGGTGGCAGGGCACCATATCTGTTTTATTTCCAGAGGAGTTGACAGTTCCTAATTTTATGGTGACCTTCAGAAAGTGTATTCTTTTGTTCTTTCACCTTTTATATACTATGTAGTAGATACTTAAAAAGGGAATCTTTAGAAATAGCACTTTTGAGATATGTAAAGTTTGCTGTCAGCCTTGTTATTCAAACAAAATTATATCCTTAGCTTTGGCTTCAGCTTTTGAGGACCAGAGTACTTCATGCTCTCTGATATCCTTGAAATTGTGCATGATCGACAAATTGTGATCACACAGGGTGTCATCGTAGCTAGTCAGCAAAGTGATTAGCAAAAGCAAGGCAAGCCAATGAGATTTATTGCTAACTTCTGAAGACTCACTTTTGAACCCAGGCAAACACTTTAGACATAATTTGGAATGAAAATTTCCTTAAGTCTTTAGTATGCTAGAATTTTGTCAGTTAATTGAAGAATAAACTTATTTTGATGATGAAAATGGACAATGTTACAATAATTAAGAATTAATTTTAGTGCAAAAGGAGCTAAATCCTTACAAAAATTTTAACAAATATGAAAAGAGATTGAAAGTCAATACAAATATTAAGAGTGTGCATTAGATAGATAACTTAGGAAGGATATACTAGTCTTTCTGAGTTAATATATATTTATAAAACAAGCAAGACTACAAATAATAAGACATCAAATTATACCAAAATTCAATTCTTTTTTATAGAATTATTTGTTATACTAGCATACCTTTCCAGATTATCCATAAAACTATTTCTTTTTGTTGTTGTTGTTGTTGGAGTCTCACTCTGTCACCCAGACTGGAGTGCAGTGGCCACTCCCGGCCACTGCAGCCTCGACCTCCTGTATTCCGGCGATCCTTCCACCTCAGCCCTCCAAGTAGCTGAAACTACAGTTGCGTGCTACCACACCTGGCTAATTTTTTTGAGGTCTCACCAAGTTGCCCAGGCGGGTCTTGAACCCTTGGGCTCAGGCAATCCACTCACCTCAGCCTCCCAGAGTGCGGGATTACAGGCTGAGCCACTGAGCAAAGCTCATAAAACTATTTCTTTCTTTTTTTTTTTTGAGTTGGAGTTTCACTCCACTGCCCAGGCTAGAGTGCAGTGGCACACTCACGGCCACCCCAGCATGAACCCGCTGGGCTCCAGCGATGCTTTTGCCTCAGCCTTCCGAGGGGCCGGAACTACAGGCGCATACCACCATGCTTGGCTAATTTTTTGATTTATTGTAGAGATGAAGTCTCACCAAGTTGCCCAGACTGGTCTTGAACCTGTAGGCTCAAGCAATCCACTCACTTCGGCCTCCCAAAGTGCTGGGATGATAGGCTGAGCCACCGAACCTGGCCTATAAAGCTATTTCTAAGCTGAAGTTATTTAAATTCATTTAAGCCAGAAATTATGAAGCGAGGACTTACTGGAGGTGTTTTTCACATTATATAGGTATAAGCTAAAAGCAGAATGTCTGGTACACTGGAATTACATGAGGGAAAAACTATCCAGAATAAGGTACAGCATCCATGACGTCATTTCCAATCCAGTCGTAAATGTGGAAGATGAAGGAAGAAACTGCTGGAGAAGGATAAGGTGTTCCCATCTTTCCTTGCTCTTTCAGTGACTCTATTGACAGTGAGCCTCTGCTTAGTATTGCAAACGTGCAGTGCACTGACCACAGAAGCACTCTTGCAGCTCACAGAGCAGAGGAATAATTGTTCCCAACTAGTAAACTTTAAAAACCAGTTCTATTTTACATATGAATTTGGAATCATCATTATTTTTGGACGACATTTCTTTTTGTTTTTTTTGAGAAAGCAGAATTTATTGAGAGGACAGAAAAGCTCCCACATTGCCCCAACATTTCTTATTTAATATTTTCTTCAAGCAGTTCATTCTCTGACGGCATTATTTAACTTTGGCCTCAGCTTTAGCAAAATATTGATTTTTGCCTCTGGCTGATTCATTGATTGATTTATTAATTCAAAAATATCAGCCAGGCATGGTGGCTTATGCCCATAATCCCAGAACTTTGGGAGGTTGAAGCAAGAGGCTTGCTTGAGTTCCAGCAGTTCCAGCAGCCTGGCAACATAGCAAAACTGTTGTCCAGCCTGGGCAACATAGCAAGACTCGTCTTGTCTCTACAAAATAATCAAGAAATCAGCAGGGCATGGTGGTGCACACCTGTGGTCCCAGCTATTTAGGAACTTAGATGGAAGGATCACCTGAGCCCAGGAGGTTGAGGTTGTAGTGAGCTGTGGTTGTGCCACTGCACTCCCGCCAGGGCGACAGACTTCACTCAAAAAAAAAAAAAAAAAAATATATATATATAATATTAATTTGGCTCCATGGTATGTTCCAGTCACTGTACTAGGACATAGTCTAAGCTTGTATTTCTGACCTGATGGAGTGCTTTAAACTTTGAATATTATGAGCTCCCCAATGTACTAGTGAAACACTTTGCCTTAGCACCTAGCAGTATGTGTGACCCATGGTAAATGACCCCAAGTCTGCTATGTTTGTGGAATAAGTAACTCCAACTTCTAACTAAAGGGCAGTTTATAATGCTTGTTAAGTGTATTTTCTATATAATTGTGCATACCATTAATGAATAAAATTTAAGCAGACCAAGAATTTAGTAAAGTCTTCTGTAGCTCATCATATAAACTCTCTCTCCAGGTTGGCAATAATGGTTCCACTGAGGCTTGTAATTGAATCCAGTAGGAAATCACCTTCCTATGATATTTCTTAATCACACTATAAGAATATAATTAGGGATGTAACAAAAATGTCTTGCTGAAAGTCAGAAACAACAGTCAATGCCTTTTCCTCATCTTCTAGTCTGGTAACCCTGTCAGAAGAGAAGACAAGGTTGGTTTGACATGACTTACTCTTGATGCATAAAGTTTCTGTGCTTCCTTGTCACCCTGACTCCATAAATAAAATTCAGACTTTTAATAATGCAATGTTTTATTCTCTCTCTCTTTTTTTTTTTTTGAGTCACACTCTCATTCTGTTGTCCAGGCTGGAGTGCAGTGGCACGCTCACAGCCACCGCAGCCTTGACCTGCTAGGATCAGGTGATCGATCCTTCTGCCTTAGCCTTCTAAGTAGCTGGAAATACAGACATGTGCTACCACGTCTGGCTAATTTTTTGATTTACTGTAGAGATGAGGTCTTGCAAAGTTGCCCAGGCTGGTCTCAAACCCTTGGGCTCAGGTAATCCTCTCGCTTCAGCCTCCCAAAATGCCGGGATTACAGGTGTTTTATTCTCTTATGTGGGAATATGATGACCTGCTAAGTGAATTGTTTTAAAATTCACAATATTTTTCTTAAATTAGGAAACAAATGAGGACTCCAGTACTTATCCTGAAACTTCCAGGATCTGGGTGTTCTTATGATTTCATAAAGCTAATCTTTGACCATTTCATTGCAAGTTCTCTCAGTTTTTTATATAATCACATGATGACCAAAACTTAATGAAAACCTAGAGTTCATGCATTGTATTCAATAATCAGTTTATCTACTTAGCAGTTATCTCTAGTCAATATTCATTTTTTATCCTTTCCTATTTGAGGATAATTATCTTTTATAAAGAAGGTGAAAACAAAGATGAACTAAGGAGTTTCACTTTTTTTTAACCCATTCACCAACATAACCTCATTGTTACAAAAAAAGGATCTATTCTTTCCTTGTTCATCCTGCACTTAACATGACTAAATAACCATTTGGTTGTCCTTACCATAAGTGCAAATCTTATAAATTTGGTGTATTAGCTTACTAGCAATATATTTATCAGCACTCTGGTGGTGTCGAAAATATACATATTTCTCAGCTAATTTGTTGGGGGCAAAAATGTATACATGAAAACAAAAGTGCATACATACATACACGTACCTTTATTAACGTACATTATATATTTTTATTACAATTATTTTCCATGCCTTCATATTATTATGCTTTATGTGTATGAAAGGGCTTAGATATATAAATTTTGGTGATTTAAATTTATGTAATTGTAATATGTGATATGTGATTTTAATACAATCAACAAAATTTAGAAATACCTGGCTTAAAAAATAATGTAACTTCTACCATTTTCTAAATAAAACATCAATATCTGCACTCCATATACTTCATAAGACAGAAAAATGTTTTCAAAATTATAGGTGAAAAACTACAATTATTTTCAGTAAATAATATGTGATTGTTAAATGTTGGAAAAATACCTGTTGTCACTCAAATTTAAGACTCTTAGTTTCTGCATCTGTCCAATCTCTTCAGGAAGAAATTCTAATTTATTGGAGCGTAGAGACATAACGGTTACATTCTTACAACTTCCAATCTACAGGTAAAAAAAGAAAATAAATAAAGAATCACAGTGTAACACTATTTTTTATATTATTTTTTACATTTATAAAGCAATTTAAGTCAGAATTTTCCTTATCACTTTTACCTTTAACATGTGCATCGTTTTATTTTGGTAATCTGGCTTTTAAAATTATACATATATCACACATATATTCTTTTAGATAGTAATGCAATTTATAACTAATATTCTTTTACATTTTAAAAGTGAAGAATTTACTTTATAATTTTACTATTAAAATAGTTGGTTTCATAAATCATGCAATTTTGTCAATCCAAGTGAGTACTACTATAACTGTGCTTATTACAGAAGGAAATACATAATTTAAAAATGCAATATTATTGACATTTCCTTGGCAAAGTTTTTTTTGTTTCACATTACGGTGGCATTTGTCATTTTTATTCATAACCCATGGCTCTAAAATAATGATTGATTATTGTTCTATCCTTATGAGAGTGTTTAATAAAAAATGTTAAATTGAAAGTACACTTTATACTTTTTCTTTGACATTAGTAAGTAAAATAATGTTTAGAGATAAAAATTAACAAATCTCTTGGTGGATTCTAACGTTTAAATAATATTATAATGCAACATGATATCTTTAAAAAGTACATTAACAGGTGTTTGCTTCAGAAATAAAAATATTTCTTCCCCTGAAATGTTATTTATAACTGTTCTTAAAAGCAAAATATGTAAATTAAATGATTGAAAATTATATTCCTTAGCATCAATTAACATAGTATTTTATTACTTTTCTTTGCATGCAATGTTTAAGTCAAATAAATGTTATGGGTCAAATATAATAACTTGTCACTTGTAATTTAAAACAGAATGATTAGCAAGGATATATGTATATAACTCCCATATATATTCATAGCTTAATTCATGAATCTAAAATTGTATTGCAACTCTTTTGGTTTTATTTAAAAACAGATTCATTAAAGCTAATTAATAGAAAACAAGTTGATTCCTCACTTCTCTGGGTAATTCTGGAAGGAAATTCTCATCAACTGCTAATGTCCGAAGACTATGAAGGTAGCCAATCGTAGAAGGCAGTGACTCCAGTTCATTACAGCTGCAGTCAAATTCTTCTAACAAAGATAAACTGAAAAGTTAAATACATTAGTAAGACATTTTAAAAGCCTAAATGGCAAAAAATTTTGAAAAAGTCCCATATATAAAATTGACCAAGCAAAAGGCATTCGTCTGGTGACAGCATAACATTATATACATTAATTTATCTAATCAGCTCAAATGATTTAATACCATCAAATAAGTGGTTCAACTTGGTAAAATAAACCCACCGGTCATTTAAGAGGTACTGAAAGACTTTTTATCTGTTTCTTGTTGTTTACAATGTGGGTGTCCTTGCAGCCAGATGTTCCAAGTGTATGTTCTTGGAATGAGTGGGTGTGGTGGCATCGGTTAGGCCGGGGGGTGGAAGGGCAGGTCCAAGGGAGGATTGGAGGGAAAATGTGGATAGATGAAATGTGGGGTATTTTCCGAAGTATTTTCAAGATTAAAGGAAAAAAAAGCGCATTCTTACTTCTAAAAACTCTTTAAGATAGGTACTACTTTAAAACCCGTTTTACAGATGAGAAAACTGAGACTTAAAGAGACTGAGTAACTCGCTCAAGGCCACACAAGGCAGAAGCAAAGCTGGGGCTTAAACGCAGACGGCAGAACCTCGCAGCGTGACCCTGCCCCTCAGCAAAACATCTGCAGCAGGTGCTTTGGACAGGATTCATTTCAGACAGCAGATGTGCTTTGCTTGGGTCATACAGTGGTATTCTTGAACATTTCTCAAGTGTTTAAATTTTACATAGTGGCCCAGGCTTTCTGGCACCTCTTGAAAAAGGGAAAAGTCTGGCAATCCTGGGCCTATGCTCTTCCAGATGGGCAGTGAAAGTGGATTAGCAGCTGCTGCCTTCGAAGGAGCACAGCTCTTCTGTTTGTCTCCCGTTGGTCCCATTTCTCATCACACCACACCTAGCCAGCTTCACCCCAGATCCAGAGAAAGGAATTCACCAGGAAACACGACGCTTCAGTGCCTGGTTTGAGACAGCTGGGAAGCAAAGAGGGCTTGCTTGGCACAGAGAAATCACCAGCTACATTTAAGATGTGTGGTTGTTATAATAACATTATCATTACTACACTGTTCTTGTCATTCATATTACATTGCGATTACTGTAGCAGGTAGGAAGACCCGAGGGTGAGGATCCCACCATTGTAAAGGAAAAAGTAAATTAGAGTTAGGTGGAGTAAGGTGGTAAAATTCGCCACCTCCTTATGTGTTAGAACTAGTTAACTTGAATGCAGTTTACTGTCACTGTTTAGTTAACAAGTGAACATAGAAATTAAGCACGTGGTTGGAGTCAGAGTGGATTTGTGTCCAGCTCTATTATCTTGGGTATCAACAAATTAAACAAAACCCACCACAGTTCAAAAAACAAAGCTGATCGTATTTATCTGCCAGGCAAGAGAATACATCAGGGAAGAAATTCACTGAGCAGTGCTCTGAGGGCGAAATATCAGGGACAAAAGAGGGGTGGTAATAGTGAGTCATGAAGATCATGCTCAGTAAGGATTCAAAACTTGCATGGAGGAGAGGGTAGAATGAGTTCACAAGTCTGTGCACAGTTGAGCAAGTCAAGTACAGTTGTCCACGGGTCAGGAAAACTTTGAATGCAGTGAGGACCAGTCTCACTCTGAGCAGCGTTTCCTATGGTTCATCACCTTAACAGACTCAGCTGATTAGAACCAATTGACATGAAGTGCACCCTTTGATTTTGAATAATATCTTAGGAAAGTGCTGCTTAAGTGAAAACGTTTTCTTTTACACAAACGAGTCATAAAATTTCTCTCTAAGCTCACAGATTCCTATTTGCAACGAGGAAACTAATGATCGCTGCTTCATGCAGTTGTTTTGAACATTTCATAAAATACTATAAGGAACTCAGCACAGTACCTGTCATAAGACATATGCTCAATACATTTGTTCTCTTATCATCAGTAAGTCCTTTGAGGCTGTCACATGCGGGGATGGCCGGATTGCTGGGTGCCAAGTGTGCCTGGCTACGTGACTGTGTATGCATACTTAGGGGGCAGGAATCAATGTATGTGGGAAATACAGTGACAGAGGGTTTTTTTTGTTCTTAAAAAGCAGTCTGGCACTGTGTCTTATACATATAACATACTTCATAAATAAAAGACATGCCTGTCAGTAGTTTGGAGTTGTATACTCAGCAAGTGATCATTAAAGCACTAGAAATTTTGTAAAATACAAATTTCAGGTGTATGTTCAGAGGTAAAACTCAAAGAAGGTATTTAACTAAAATATATAATTAAGGTTTCTCATTTTTTCTTTCTTTTATGAAAACATGTATGGACATTACTCTTGGTCACAGTAAGGCAGTCACCATCTTGCGCATTCCAATATGCACAAATATGTTTTATAACATCATGGCCCAAATTTCAGTTATCTCACTATTTTAACAAAGTGAGTAACTGCATAAAGGATCAGTTGCTTCAGCCCAATTCAGTTTCTTCACAAATCATAATGTGAAAAAATAGGTGCATGTTGTGATCGTTGACCAGTCACACCACTTTCTTCACAGTCTATCAGTGACCAATCATGCACATCTGTTATTCAGTTCACACACACGTCAAATCGTCAAGTTAGTTGTGTTGCCTCCTTGTTTCCCAGTGGGAGACAGATACTATAGGCAAAATAATTTAACTGCTAAAGCACTGCTATTATTGGATAATGCTCTTGGTCCCTCTAATTCTCTGGAGACTTAAGTGAAAATGTGCAAATTTGCTTGTCACCAAACTTCATCAATCCAGCCAGTAGACCAAAGAGTTATTTGACATTTAAAGGCTTTCGTCTTACACAGACTTTGGAACAGGCTATTCATGCTACAACTGATGATCGTGCAGTTTCTTTACCTGAGTCCTGGGTGAGATATGACATGATATGTACAAGTGAGAATATTCAGATAGCATAGCAGGAAGTAACAGCAAGTAATATGCAAGCGGCATAGCAGAAACTTTTAGCACAGTGTGCAAATAACTTTGAGTCTAACAGAAAAGGAATTATAGAAGAAATAGCTGCCCATGGGAATGTTGACATTTAAAGAGACTCTAGTTAATCTGCCAGAGGAACTCAGTGAAGACAAATTTATCCACATCAATGAGAAAACTGATTGTGATGAAAAGGTTGATGCCTCAGAAGAGATGACGATAAAATTCACATTAAAGAAACTCACAGGGATATTTCATGACACTGAAAGCACAAAGGATAAAATTTTGGAAGCAGATTCAAACTTATAAAGGAGTATGACAATTCACTAATGTATAGAAAAGATGTTCACTCTGTATAATAACTTATACTATGAAAAGAAGGCAAGCACTAGTTCAAACTAACTTGATTGTTTAAATAAAAAAAACTCTTTAATTCTCAATGTATCTAATGTTTAACATTATAGTGTACTAACTAAATATTTGTTTTACTGCTTTTCTACTTTACTATACATTTGTAGCCTATAGTAACGGTATTTAGTGTTTGGACAAAAGGCTTTGAAGACCTTTTGTAAGAACAGTCATAATGTTTCCCACTGATTACTAAGAGTGTTTTGCACAGTTTCAGATTGCATGGTCAATTTTTGGTCCCTGTGATACTATGATTTATAAGAAGCATATATTTGTTCTTTCTCTAGTTCTTGGCACAGGGTTCATAAAACCTCTAAAATTTCCAAAGTGAAGAGTGTCTTTTTGTAGGCAAATGAGATGATTTAGGTCTAGGAGCTCTTGGATAGGCTCAGAGTAGGGGTTGGTTGCCAAGAGAACCACTCACTTGATTAGAGAGTTGAAACTTTCAGTCCCACCTCTGACCTCGGGGAAGATCAGAGGGGCTGAAGTTGATAGCCAAAGGTCAAGGACATACTCAGTCATGCCTATATAATGAAGACTCCAGGAAAACCAAAAAGGACAAGGCTCAGAGAGCTTCCAGGTTCCAAACTCATGACAATGCTGGGAAGGTGACACGTTCCGTGAGAAGGGTGGAAGCTCTGTGTCCCTTGCCACACACCGTCCCTTTGTACCTTCTTATAAGACAGTTCATCTGTTCGTTTTGCTCACTGGCATCTTCTATCCTTAATAGTAAACCTTTCTTGTGAATGACTGAGCCTGAACAGAGAGTCAAAGGAACCTCTAGTTTATGGGTAGTCAGTCAGAAGTACAGAAGGCCTGGTCGTGTGTCTGAAGTACAGGTAGTCTTGTGTTACGACCTTTGTATGTGTGTGTATTGAGGATACGTCTGTTACTTACATTAAAATACATTAATTTTTTTCTTCTGTGTTTTAAATTGCTTTAAGTTTTTTGACTCAACAATAAAATACTACGATTCTAAACAGCTTATTCTTGAGGATTCTGCCGAAAGGCATGGAAATAATTTCAATCACCTCATTTCCTAAGAGTAGATGTTATCAGTTTAAAATGTCTCCCAAGCCGGGCTTGGTGGCTCAGCCTGTAATCCCGTGCCTTTGGGAGGCTGAGGTGAGTGGATTGCCTGAGCCTGCGGGTTCGAGACCCGCCCGGGCATCGAGACCTCATTCTACAATAAATCAAAAAA